TCCTACCCTGGGGGTCTTTAAGAAGAGGCTTGATGCCTACCTGGCTGGAGTCACCTGAGCCCAGTTTTTCTCCTGCCCAGGCAGGGGGTCGGACTTGAAGATCTACAAGGTCCCTTCCGACCCGACTTCTGTGATTCTATGATATGATTCTATGAAAACAACTCCCATGGGAAGGTCAGATATGAGAGATGAATAACTGCAGAGTCTGAAATGGCTCACTGAACAGGCATGAGAAGCTAGACCCAGACACAGGCAGCTTGCAGTGCAGTCTCCTGGCCAAGTGACAGCAGCAAGGGGGAAACCAGGTGACTGTGGGCTGTCTTCCTATCACTCCTCCATTCACATCTCCAGGCACTGTCACTGGGTCATTGGACTTATCTGAGGCAGTAACCTTGGCTGTTGTGCTCTGCTTAGCGTACTCCCTTGGAGCACTCGTTATTAACCTCTAACACATACTCCTGTCCCTGCTTTCTCATTTGTAGTCCCCCAGAAACTCTTATTATGCATCTAGTTGCCTCCCTAGCTCTGGGAGGCTTATAGTTTTCTTGGTGGGCCCATGCCCACTGCAAATAGGCCTGACCGACTGACAGCTTCTATGCATCACAGGCACACAGACACACTTCCACTCCAGAAATGGATTAGCTTGGCTTGAGGGAAGAGGCAGAGGAAAACTGAAGCTGGAAGGACTTCCCATTACTTATTCCAAAGGTATCCACCCCTGAGAGAGTGGACTACGTGCTCATGACAGCTGGCTGAGAGGCGTAAAGTGATTGCCACAGATTGCTCTTGAAGACAGGCAAGGAATCAGACAGTACTCACGCTCGTGCATCAGCCAGAGACTTATCATCCGCTTCCACGTCCTCCATGTGGCCAATCAGCTGCTCCAGGAAGCTCTCCCTGCTGAGCTCTCCCTGTAGGGCGAGGTGTACTGCCAGAGCCTGCAGGATGGCTCCATTATAGCCCAGCGAATTAGAGTGGGTCAGCTCAGCACTGAGCTTCGCAAACTATGGATTTAAAAATGCCATCAGGACACATGCATGAAGGACAATCGCCAACCCTCACCACCCCGTCAGCAAGGAGCCCAGAGCTCAGGTGCCCAAATCAACTTCAGGAACGCACCTTTTTCACATCCTGAATGTCAGAATAAACGAGCGAAATGCCTGCAACCCTCATGGCACCACCATTCCCATAGGAGCCTTTCCCACTGAACTGTGCTCTTGCCGGCTCAAACACATCGCTGCACTTGGGGCTCAGAAGTTTTTTAAATACAGTGACAACCCCCATTCCATAGCCCCGGTTTGGTTCCTTCTTATATTCCTCAGCAAACCTGCCAAGGCAAAAGAACAGCAATTACATAGCATTGAGAAAAAACGCACTGGATGGGCAGTTTCAACTCACACTTGGATCTGTTCCTTAAGTTAGCAAAAAACTTTATAAGGCTCTACTATTTATACCAAAGCAACATACAGAGATCTCAGTGGATGCATCTACACATTCATCTACACATTCATGAATGCGCCTTAGATACTGCACCTTTAGTTTAGCACTTCCTTAATGAAGTACTAACTGAATGCGCAATAACTAGTTATTGGCACGGGTTTCTTTTAGTGACACTTACTGTACATTAGCCATATAACACTGCACGGTAGGCTATTAGCACAGTTTTTGCTGTGACATGCTAATGCATAGTAAACATCTTGGATAGATGCTCCCAGTTAGGAGCAAGGCCCCAGTGTGCTCACTGCCAGAGCCTCAGAGGATGGGTAAAAGGGTTGTATGATCCTGTGGTAATACAGACATTGCATTTGCATAAATCACTGGTTTAAACTCTTGACTTCAGTGAATTTTAGATTCTACCACTTAACTAAATACAACTGCAAGAGGCACTGAGGTCTCTCTGCAGAAGAAGTTTTGTTCTTTTTGCTCTTTCCACACCAATACAAAGTTTTACCAGCCTGCAGTCCTCTCTCCTGTCACAGGCTTCAAATGCACAGCTAGAGGTGGCCAATTCATTTCAGAAAGCTTCATTTGCTATCATATGCAAAAACACCACAAGGACTGTCTATTGTGTTCCTTACCTCCTAGCCATATCAACTTCATCAAATTCTTGCTTGGCTAGCAGGGACTGTACCACAGACCTAGACATGGCTGTATCGTCTGTGTAGGAGAGAGTTTCTGGAAGAGAATGGAAAAAATATGGTATGGACACTTACGTGCAAGACAAGAGACCTCGCCTCCCCCTCACGGGCCTGGTCGCTACCCCCCTCTCCCGAGCCAAAAAAACACCGAGGGGGGAGGGAGCTCCTCCTCCCCGCCCCGCCCGGCGCAGCTCACCTCTGCGGGCGCTACCCGGCTCCCCGCCGCTCGGGCCCGGCTCGAGGCCGCGCAGGAAGCGCAGCAGGTCGGGCAGCTTCACCGTGCTCTCGCCCTCGAAGGCGGCGCCCAGGCAGTCCCCGAGCA